CTGCAGCTATAAACGGTTGTGGCACGAATGGGTCGGCTTAACCGAGGCAGGAACCACCCTCTCACAGAATGCCAGCGAAGAATAGCAGCTTAACGCTGCTATGTTTCATATGGTGAATGTAGAGAACCGGAGACCGCTTTTACTGGAAACCCTTTTTACTGGCATTCTGTCTTGGTACTTACGGGTGACAACACATCTGCATTTTGATTCGTAGTCGAGCATAGATGTAGATGTCTATGGGCCACAGCTACTACTTACCATCAGGTGGACTGTGTGCTCGCTTGTCACCATTATCTTATAAAAATAATTATAAGTGTACGTAATCAGTTAAAAGTTCTCAATTCTCGTGTTCAACTTGCTAAAGATAGTAATATCCCTAAATGCACGGTGCTAACGAGGTGCAAACACCCAAGTCAGCGACGTGGAGCAGCGTCAAGATACACCAATCAAGCATAATATTGTGGAAAAGTGGTAAAATTAAAAATTTTGTACAACCGACTTCAATATAAATAAAATGAGAATATCGTCAATGTAGTCGAAGTCAATTAAATACGCATTATTAAGGATAACTCAAAAACTACTGGTCAGATCTTGATCAAATTTATATGGGACCACATGAGAAGCACCAGCTTTCAATGAAAAAAAAATCATCAAAATCGATTCGATTAGAAAAAGGTTCTGAGGTAACTCACATAAAAACTGAAGAAAATACAGTCGAATTGTGTACCTCCTTTTTTGAAATCGGTTAAACATCTCAAAGAAAAGGAACTCTGTATATGCCCCAAGGCGTCATAAGATCAAAACTTTTTTTTTAATAAAAGTAAGGGTAACAAATGACCACACCTACATACATATATCCTCGATTAAAAATCAAAATACATCTCCGGATCTCTCCGGTCCTTTCCTGATCGAGCAGCCGACCCATTTGTGCTGCAACCACCTATACTGCAGTGTCTCTATCACGTAAATTTCTAATACTGTCAATGTTTATTGATATTCTGTCATTTAAGTTTATTATACCATACCCACCTTTAAATATAATAATACCCAATATAATATCGTTATGAATTACGTGTCATGGAAGCTTCTAACTGCTAAACCTTATTTGCTTACGTGTTACTAAATTTATTTTAAAAGTACTCCAGAAATAAAAATTGGCCGCTGCCGAAATTCGCTGCCAATATAGTTATCGTTAGCAATTAAATTGTTTTGAAACATCCATCGTCATATTATTTCCAGTTATTTAGTATTTAAACATTGTCTTTATTTCTAATTACTGTAATCTAATAATACTAGAGTAATTTATTTATAGTCGGTTATTCAAATCTCGTTTCTCTCTACTGTAACCGAAAGGTGAATAAATATTATATCCATACCATACCATTGCAGTCTATAATAATATTATTATAGGCCTCCCCCATAGATTGCCTCATAGGGGGGGATATTTTCCATAGTTTCCACGCTTGGCAAGCGGGGTTGGCAATCGCAGTTTTTTTTATTTGTTATTAGGAAGACAGTGCTGCTCATCTCCTGATTTGTCTCCACCTGTAGCCTCTTTGGACTCTCACGGATTGATATGTGTAACAGTACGTTTGCACTGAGAAACATACAACACTTAATGTTTTAAAACAAATCGTATAACATAAATCCAACAACATGTTTTGTGGATGGTGGCGTTCGCACTCACAAAAACTGTGTAAAATTTTCAACAGATATTCAAATTTATCTTTCAACATAACAAATATTACTTCAAATTTGTTTTCAAACATTTTGTTTCTGTTGTTATAAAGATATAATAAAACGAAAATATGTAATGTACATAAACTGTCAAACATATTTCACTACAACACGTTCTTTGACTATGCAAACGTATACATTGACAGAAAACAGTGTTTAAAACTTTTTTTTTTTGAAAATCGCGTCAATGCAAACTCACGGTTAGTGGATATTCTTACAGCGCCACTACACGGTAAATATTGGGTGCGTTTGGCAGAAAAAAGCGCTAGCAAGCGCTTATAAGCGCTGAAATAGTTTTCGGCAAGGACATGATTGCTACTTCAGTAGCGCTGACACAATCCGCCATTTTGCTTATTTAATTTGTTTGTTTTGAAGTAGAGTTTATAAGTTGTTTTGCGCAATATTAGTTTTAAGTAATATAATGACATGAATAAACATATACATGTTATTAAAATTCATGATTGGTAAGTTTTTAATATGAATACTTTACAAACATATATTTAAATTAGGTTAGGTTCCCCGGTTAAAACTAACATCGTGTCCTGGAGGAAAATAGCTACTTACGATTTGACAGCGCTTACCGCTTACGATCGCCATTTTGCTTACAAGCGCTTGTTAGCGCTTTTTTCTGCCAAACGCACCCATTATATAGGTAATAATAATAGGATAAGACTGTACGGTTAGAGACTTCCTCGGGCTGTGTATGGGCACGGTAATATTATCTATAATAATATTACAGTGGTATGGGGCAGTGGAGTACGATTCTTTGTCATCCAGGCGATCATGTGACGGCTGCGGAGAACCACATAAGGATAAGAAGATGTATTTTCAGGGCGATTGTTTGAGTCCAATCTGGTTCTGCCTCTCTCTCTGAACCCTCTCAGTACCTTACTGGAGGGATCGGGGAGGGAATCTGAACTTCGGAAGGAAGGGACCCAGCGATTTTATTTGATGCGTGTGATTTCAGCAATTCTATAAAAATGTTGCTGGGACGGATAAGTGCGTCGGCCTTCATGTCGAAAGGGGTAGGGTCGCTTATTTTGAGGGCATACATCTATGTACATCAACATAGACCCTTTCCGATGCAGAAACATACTGATACTTGTATACGAACCTATATCGATGAGGCGGATATGAAACAGTCAGTTAACGATCAGTTTTATGCATGCTTGACCAGCCTTTTATCGGGCGTGAATAAGGCATACGCTTATAACAGTTGGGTAATGCCCGTCCTCATGGGCCATTTGGCATATTCAGATGGACTCAAACTAAACTATCTTTCTACCCAGGGCGTAAACCCTGGCTAGAAAAGTCCGCGCTACCATGGCGTCCCATAGGATGCACCATACGAGATCGTCCGTAAAGAGGCTGTAATTGCCAGGGAAGTATGGTGGGCGTGGCTTTTTAAGCACGCTCACCACGCATGAACGCGAAAAGTGTAGCCTTCGTCATTATTTCTTAGCGATATCGGATGATCTACTCTATAAAAACGTTATTTCTTGTGATAAAGGGCTTCCCCCTCTATCCTTAGCCAACGAGTACCGAGTGCCATTGCGAGTACCGCGTCTTGCTATTTTTTATTATTTCCGACCGGGAGGTCGAAGGTGCTCCACGGGAGGTTCTTTCTACAAGGCTCTACATCAGCATTACGTAGACACAGTCGCCTCCCTCCACCGGCTAGGTTTTGGTGACCTCTTTGGGAAAACCGAGGGTTTTGTCTGTGCGAAACAGGATCAGGTTATTAAGACCAACAACTATCGGAGATGTATTCTAAGAGATGACACCGTTGACATCTGTCGAGCTTGTCGCCATCCCGGTGAGTCATTTAGGCATGTCATCTCCGATTGTTTGGCGCTTTCTAACTGTGAGTAGGTACTTGCACAGGCACAACCTAGTAGAGCTCCCTCTGAAGTACGGTCTCGTGGGCCGTAAGTTGCCTTTATACAAGTACTTGCCGGAAGCCGTGCTTGAAAATGACCGCACCAGGCGCTACTGGGACCAGGCCATTATCACAAACAGGACTGTTATTGTGCTGATGGACCGGGCATAATCAAAGATATTTTTGGTTGATATGACCATTCCGTATGACGAGGACTTCATGAAAGCCGAAACAGATAAGCGAACATAATATCTAGACCTGGCTCACGAGGTGACCGACATGTGGGGTGGCTTGTCGAACGAAATTATACCTGTAGTCGTTTCTGCGAACGGGCTATTCCCAGTCAGAATCACGAGTCATCTGAGCATTGTTCCCGTTTCAGCGGATCTGGCGCTAGATGTAGTTCAATTCTAGGGTCTATAGCGCTTTTATTTTAAATATGTATCTAGTCTACTAGATATTTTTAGCATGTATATATTTAAAAAAAGCGCTATAGACCCTAGAATTGCACCAGATTTAGCGCCAAATGCGCTGAAACGGCAACACTGCATCTGAGGCAACTGGGACTCCGTGACGGACCGCTCCAAACTCAAACGCAGAAGACTGTGCTCCTCAATACCGAACGCATCGTCCGCCGGTTTCTTACCCTTTTCCCCTAACCCTTCGCAATTTGGTATCCCCTGCCGAGGGCTTTCATCTGGATGGCTTTTTATTTATTTACGCTTTATTTATGTATTCATTTCGCTATATTAATATATGTATATTTATACAGCCCAACCAGATGAGAAAAATATTTCAATACCCTAAGTAAAAATAAAACAAAGAATTGTGTGGAATATTAAATATAATCTATAAATATATTGTGTATCCGTAACATAACAGCAAATTAAATCCGCTATATAGTCGTCATTGCTAATAATCGTACTAACGTAACACTTCTATTGTTTTAGTTGCCTGCTGCCTCAAAGTTTCTCGCCGGTTATGGAGCAGCAATCGACTATCAACCCAGCGATCTGATTGCATAGCTGTATAGAAACATGCGGGGAGAGGCTGCGTCGATTTCATGACGAAAACTCTCCTGCAAATTTTTATCTCACCGCGACATTAAGTCAATTTGATAATAGAACACAAACGAATTTGAAAGATATACGAAAATTTGAATAAGGAAGCCAGCGTTGCGAAGTCGTTTTGAGCGATAACGATAACTCTTAACTAAATCCGTTGAGCAGAGACTGTTTTCGTTAACCGATAGCGCTGATAAGGTGTTGTCGATATTTTTTAAATCGTCATATGGTGAAAACTCACTGTTACGTGAAGACGTGTGCAGTGCGATAGTGGCGATAGTGCAGTGTGATTTATTATCGAATGTGAGTTTTTCTCTAAAATGCGCTTAGAAGAGCTGTGGTCTAAGCTGGCAACCTTGGGCTGGGTTACCGTTATGGTAGGATGCCATACGCCCAGCAGCGAGCTAGAATCTGTCAGATACGGACCAGCTGATGAAAGATTCGGCAGCGATACTTACACTGTGGCCAATATCAATATCACGTATGAAGATGAACACGGCAAGCTGTACACGGAGACCTCGGAGGTGAGTGTTTCGATTATATTTTGCAATGATTTCTATATTTACGCAAGCACCACATTTTTATCGCTGTTAATTAACTTATTTTATATTCCCGACGTTTAGAGTACTTTGCAAATTCCATGGTCTCGAGGAACTGAGCTGTTCGACGTCCTAATGTTATTAACCACGTCTACCGTCAGTAATGTCCTGAAGTCTTGCAGTGTTATGCTAGCGTTGGGATTCAATTGTAATAATGATAATATTCCAATCAGATGGTAGCACCCAACCATTTCTTTTAAAATTAGGAGGTTTTTTGATTTCAATAAATCCGTAAAACATCCTTAGTAGGAATCGAAGTTCTCTAACGATGATATGTGGTCTATCATATGCAATATAATGGCGGCGGTGATCCTGTATCACACAGTGTACAGAAAAAATAACCCATAATAGTACCCATATTTGAACGGTATTTTTGGTACATAGCTGTGTGACAGTGGTGTTTCGTAGTAGGTCAATTGGGTAGATTGTATTATTTTATTGGCCCATTATTTAAATTTAGAGGATTTGTAGTGTTTCAGGTTATTAAAACATTTGAGATAATTGAAGACTTCTTAAATGGACCAAATATTGTTTATTAGACGTAAAATTTACGAATAAGATATATCATATCACATCTCATTTTTTTTGCAATGTCCATCTAAAATCAAAAAAATCTTGTGGTACAGAAAAATATTGTTATATTGTGTAAATAATAAAAAGTCCAATTTATGTCAGCATCTGGAATTTACAATAGTTAAACAATTGTTTAATAAGATTAAGTTCTTTAATAGAAATGTTATTTACCAATCTATATATTAATTTTCATTCGTTTTGGATTCTGTAATATATATATATATATATATATATATATATATATATATATATATATATATATATATATTATATGACCGAGCTTTCCTCGGTATTTTTTTTGGAAATTATATTTAGATACAAATTACTTACTGAGATAATAGAAAAAACTGAACTGGTTATTTGAATAAAAACTACACAAATTTTTTCTCACAAAAGAAGGCAACTTGAAAAAAAAAAGGAAAAAAATTCGGACCTGAGACAGGACGTGAATCAGGGCACTCCGATTTCGCGACCGCCCGATATCCCACTTTCTTACTACCTAGAAGTTTTTTATTAAAAAGGACATTTTCTAAAAATGAATCCTAGCTAGATCCATTTATTGTCCCTGAAACCCCCTGGACACTAAATTTTATGAAAATCGTTAGAGCCGTTTCCGAGATTCCGATTATATATATATATATATATATATATATATATATATATATATATATCATATATATATATTGCTCGTTTAAAGGTATAGGAATATATGATTCAATTGCTGTCCGTTAGTCTCGCTAAAACCCGCAAACGGCTTTGAACGACTTTGATGAAATTTCATGTGTGTATTTCAATAACTCCATGTATGGTTTAGATTGACAATTGGGCCTGGTAGGTAGCGCTGCTGTCGGAGACCAGAACTCACCCGAACGAAGCCGGGGCGGATCTCTAATTGTTTATAAATACGTTTCAAAAAATCATCGCTCACACAAACAGAGGCCAAAGTCGATTGATCACCTTAATATATAGACGTATTTACTTCACTGCGATAAACTAATCTAGTATGTTCTATGTAGTTTCCACAATCTCCATTTCAGTACATACACATTATTATCTTTACATAACAATAAAATTTCGCATAGGCATTGCATTAGTACGAGCCGTGTTACCTCAGGAGCTAATCGCTCGCTGTAAATTTCACAGTACGCGCGTACCTCGGGTTCCTGCCTCGCCGACATCAATGAAATTGTTAATTGCAATTTTGAGTGCTTGGCGGTGAGGAAAAACATCGTGAGGAAACCTGCATGTCTTAGAAATAAGAAAAAAATATTTCGAAGATATGTGAAATTGCAGATTTGGGTAGCGTGGCGGACACTTCCTTGGGACGTATTTAGACTGTAACTTTAACTGTTATTGAATTAGTAATACTTTATGACTACGTAATCATAATTTTAATAAAAAGTAAACTTACACTAAAATTCTGCTACTGAAGCCGTCTGTAGCAGAGTTTTAAGCAGGGTACAGAGTTCGTCGCGCTGTTACAATGCGTGTTTGTGGAATTCGCATGTCCTTCCTTCACTTTTTTAATTCTTATACTTCTAAGTTATATTTCAATAACTATAAGAAATATCTAAGTTATATACAGTATGGAACTCTTGAGAAAAAAACGGTACTTTGTTTTATAAGTCGATGCTAATATATAGAAAAACATCATTTTGATCCGATATAGAATACCTATTGAAAGTCATTTGTACTTGTTACCACTGGTTCAACAAAATACTCTGTCCTGGAAAGAATCAGCAGTAAATCCAACGGGTTGTACAATTAAATATGTCAAGAAATTTACACAGGGCTGTGATAAACATTCTATACACTTCAACATCATCATTTGCTCATCCAGAAACTAATCCCTTGTGCAATGTCGGTTACTAGGTTATCAGATTTCTACGTTTCTATGCAGTCTTTGCCACGCGTTACTAAACGAGAGTATTTTGACCTTTAATCACGTGCTTATTACTTTTAAATATCTTTTTATATCTTGCTTTCAATTATCTACATCATTCACAAACACATATTTTGCACCTTCTAATCAGATAATTTGCTTACTGTAGTACTGTAGTTTGCAGTGAAGTACTGTTCTTCTGCTGTCGTGTGCACGCGCTGCGTACATAACAACGTAATGGGTTTTTTTTAATTAATCAGTCTACTAATTATGTTAATGCATTAGTGATTGATGAATTAAGTTGTTGATTATATCGAAATGATTATCAATTACATAAGATAAGCGACAGTAGCCTAATGGCAGGGCGCGGACCGCGAACTCAAAAAGGTCGTGGGTTCGAATCCGCCATTCGACTACTGGCGTGAACCACTCGTAACACAAGCAATTTAAGCTTACCACGAGTGGTTAAGAGGCATATTAGTAATGTTTATAGCATTGTTAATATTCTTTAAAAAGTTAGTGCATTTATTACAATTGGAAACGCAGCTTTGTGGCTAATATTAATAACTCTAAGTCTTCTTTTGCGTCCATCAACTGCATTGTACCCAGCAGCGGCGCTTATACTAAATTCTCTCGGGTTGAACCCTTTCATATTTCACGGTATTTAGGAGTAACCATCTTATATCATTATAAAAATGAAGCTTAACAAGGAGGCTTCGTCAGGAATGAATCCTAACTAACCATTTAACGACAATTAATATTAAAACGTCGTAAATAACCTCTTCCACAAACTATCATTTTTAATAAAACATAATGATCAAACATTAACAAACATAGAAATTATATTCGACTATAGATGATACCAACGACTTATTGTTTTCAACATGATATTTATAGAAAATAATACGAAACCCAGTGACGGCTCAGTCTCTTGATTGCTACTGTCATTCACTAATAACATGATATTATTTTCACCGTGTGAAATGTCCGGCCGATGGGAAAATCCATCACAACACTACTTCCTATGACTTTGTGGCTTTTGATATCTTTAGGTATGACATGTTCAATATTATCAACATCATCATTATATAGTCCTTTTTAAGTCCACTTTGGAATTAAAGCTTCCGCAAAGAACGCCACTAAACACGGGCCTGAAACATTTGCATTCATCGAATAATCTAAACGTCACTTAAAAATCACAAAAAAAAATCGTAAATATCTTAAAGAATAATTTTTTTAAATCTAAATATCTGTATATTAATCATAAAATCTATATATATATATATATATACATATATATATATATATATATATATATATATATATATATATATATATATATATATATATATATATATATATATAAACAATTGCTGTACTTGTGTCTCGCTAAAAATCAAAAAGTACCTGTCCGATTTTGGTGAACTGTTTTGTGGGTCCCTAGGTAGTTTAATTTAGATTCACATTTGGACCCGGTAATTGGTGCTGTTGTCGATCCAGAAATCATCACCCTTGCGATGCCGGGGCGGAATGACTTATATAATAATAATAAAATCCTATACCTTGAAAACTATGTTGTAAAAAACTATATTCAGGTTCAAGATGCTCAGGATAAGAAATCGGAGTAAGTACATAGTAATAGCACAGATAGTCGCCTGTCAGTTCTACTTATCACACTACTCTTTCGTCTATATTTGTTTTTTGATAAACTGGTTTTAGGCAGTATGAAATTACACGTGTTTAGAGCACTACTTATTTATTTACCCTTTACTTGTATAAATCTTAAGATTTTATGTAAATAAGTACACACGTAGTAGATCCATGCTGCAGTTATCCATTACGTGGTAGAGCTATGCTGCAACTATACTAGTACTATCGTTGTAGCCCGAATGGATCGATCAGCTCGACCGGGGAAGGATCACGCTCTCACAGAAAACCGGGATAAAATAGCAGCGTAATGCTGATGTATTTCGTATGGTGGGTGTAAAGAAACGGAGGCCTTTTTACTGGAAACCGGGCATTCCATCTTAGTCCTCAGGAGTGTATTTTGATTCTTAATCGAAGATAAATATAGATGTCTATGGGCCACAGCATCCACTTACCGTCAGATGGACTGTGTGTTTGTGACCTGTAATCAAAAAAACGTTGTCACCTGACATTCACTAAGATGTCTCACGTGTCTCTCAGTAATTATACGGGTGGTATCTAACCACACGGACTCCTAGAAAAAAAGGAGCCCTACCTAGTGTTTACCAACACCTACCACCTATACACTATATATTAAATACATTTTTAGGCATTAAGACTTAGTCTAAAAGAGCACGACTACCATTTGAGTTATAATGCAAACGAAATTCAACTTGATGTGTTCGATAATTTTAAAATGGGTAACATCTACCTCGTCTCCCAACATAATATAACATAATTGGAGTAGAGCCAAAAAGTTTGTTGACAGTGAGAGTGGCTTGGTTGTATGTAAACAATGTTTTTTTGTTCGCTCATCATTCAGATTGCGAGTGACACTACATTAACAACTATTTTATTAATTAGGTATTTGTGTTGAAAACACTTTCCTAATATATCACGTTATGAATATATTTACTTGTATAAAATGAATAATGTTGATGAAAAAAAGTTTTGCATCCATATATCAAAATAGAAATTAAAAATAGATGCAAAGTGGCAATGGTTCATCGGACAAGCACACTATCTTTATTTCACACTTATCCTGACTAGAGCGTTATCGCTAAAAAGTTTTTATATTACCGTTGCTTATTTTTAATATAAAATAAATTGAATATAAAATACGTGGTTATTAGGCCATGGTGCAGCTATATTGTGGTTGCAGCACGAATAGGTCGGCTTGACCGGGGTAGGACCACGCTCTCACCCAATACCAGCGTAATATAGCAGCTTCATGTTACTGTATTTCGTATGGTGAGTGTAGAGAACCGAAGACCCTTTTTACTGGAAACGAGGCATTCCATCTCAGTCCTCAGGGCTGGCAACTCATCTGCATTTTGAATTTTAATTGAAGATAAATGCAGGTGGACTGTTTGCTCGTTTGTCACGCTTATTTTATAAAAAAAAAACATAGAACTATTTAACTAAATGTTTAATTAATTACAGTTTTGCACAGCTTCCAATTCATTTGATATTAAATCTTGTATCTTAGTCCTAAGTCGAAGTTTGCGTTCTAAAGGGATTTCGTTCATAAACGGGAGGAGACTCTCGAAAAATAGCAAATCGTCATTTGAACCTCTAGCTATATCACTCTCCAGTATTTGAACCTTTTTCCTTTCCAGTTCCAACAGCGTTTCATTGTTAACGAACTCACTGCTTGATGCTAAAGTATTCAACTTCCTTTTTCTCGTAGAGGGTGTAATATAGGACGTGTCTGATGAAGATTGTGCCGGAGAGCGGTTCTCAGGGTACGCCACGGAACCGTCTATGTTAGTTATGAATATTTCGTCGCCCTCGTAGTCTTCTTCTTTTATGCAATCCGTTGTTTGATTTAACCCTGGCAATATTACGTCTCCTAGAAATTGCAACCGGTCGAAGTATTGCCAAGTGCTAGTTGTTTCGCTACCCTCTTTGCTCTTGCTATCTATCTTTTGGCATTCCTTTACGTAGTACGCTCTTAGATTTTTCCATCTTGTCTTCGTGGTTTTCGCTGAAATAAAAGGTAATAATTAATAAATAAGTTCCATTGAAAATTGCCTAGATTAATGACAACTGCGTGGATTCCCGGTCGGAGCGCCTAATTACTGCATCATAAGTATAAAATTTGAATTTTAGCAGATCAATATTTACAAAAGCACAATTTGTTAGTTTTCGGGATTGTGCTAAGACCAAGCCAAATATTTTGATTGATGAAATTCTCCAACACGAAGAGAAGAAGTGAAATAAGATTGAAATTTATTTCATTTTAATTTTAGCTCTCACTTAAACTTTTTGACTAATGTGGGTGAAGTGATTACAGTGGACCCCCGGTAATCCGGCACCCCCTGTCATCCGACATGATCTATTATTTATTATTGTATTTTTTTTGACAATCTTCGCTAATGCATGATTGAACAAGTTATAACTTGTACACCCCACCACTATTGTGCCCGACGCGTAGGGTATTGTTTTGATTCTGATTAAAAATATGTTTCTGAAAATGGTTGAAAGATCATAATTTTCCTCACAAAGCGCTATTACTTCTTGATAACGCTTTTAAATTGATGCTTCTTAAATTGATTCATTTATACATAATTTTTTTATTATTTTGGTATGTACACATTTATTTCCTAAAAATGTTTGTAGGATTACCGGGGGTCCACTGTACCTCAATAATTTATTATCTTCAATTCTAAATACGTCAAAATATGATAAACTGTTTCTATCATGACATAGTGTAATATTTTTATTAAAACAGTTAGTCAATGTTAACATAATAGGAATGTTAAGCTCCGAAGGTCGGATGTAGAATAGATTTGCATTAATAGTCACACCTGCCAAGCGGATGGTCGATCGCAGCACCAGAACACATCTCCGCCACCATTAACACACTTCCGGTTGTCGTGTTGGTGTGATTAATGTTTACATAGTTTTTTTTATAGAAGAGAGGGCAAACGAGCATGCGGCTCACCTGATGGTAAGTGACTACCGCCGCTCATGAAGAACTGCAAAACTAGGGAAATTGCAGGTGCGCTGCCGGTCTTTTAGAACGGAGTAAGCTCTTTTCTTGAAGTTCTCTAAGTCGTATCGGTCCGGAAAAATTGTCGGTGATAAACAAGATTGAAAATATTTTACAAAATTCAATCCACTCTATTCTACTGAAAACAAAAAAACACGCAATTTATAAAACTACGATCTACATCACTTATAGTGTGACATTTATAACATGATTTCATAATACCATAATCCCAAACTAGGTAATCATTACAAATTAAACATAGCGATCCCCAACTTCAAGGCGTTCAGCTTGATAGTAAATTGTCCTAAATACCTAGAAAGGTAAATTTATTTCATTTAAACACTAACCGTCTCTATTCACCTCTGCCGCAACTTCCTGCCAAAGTCTCTTCAGAATATTCGAATTCTTATGCAAATCGTTCATAGGGTTCCATAAAGGCTCTCTTCTATACACGGCTTCAATTAAAATATTATCCATTTTTGTACAAGAGTATCGATAAAATAAAACACGTCTGCCCGGATAGAGGACGCCTGGGTACTATCGAGCGAGGGGCGATAGGTGGGGCGGGGTACGTGGAAGGCAAGGGGCAAGGCTGGCTTCGTAATCGTGCCGCTAGCCGCTAACCGACGCACTCGTGCACCTAGGTGGGGACTTATCGATGTCACAAAAGTACCGAGTGGTTTTTACAGTTTCATTGATTATTTTATGTACTAAGTGACGCATGTTGGCATTGTTTGTTATTATATACATACCTATGGTGTACGTTATATGTATTAACAAAGAACAGCTGGAATATGATGTTTTTCCTAAGATATTATTTTATAGGTGGTGGAGTCACACTGCAGCTATATTGTGGTTGTAACACGAATGGGTCGACTCGACCGGGGGAAGAACCACGCTCTCACAACGAGAATACCAGCGTAAAATAACAGCTTAATATGCTGTGATTCGTATGGTGCGTGTAGAGATCCGGAGACTCTTTTTTGCTGGAAACTAGGCATTCCATCTTAGTCCTCAGGGGTGACAGCGCACCTGCGTTTTGATTCTTAGTCAAGGATAAATGTAGATGTCTATGGAAAACAGCATCCACTTACCATCAGATGGACTGTGTGCTCATTTGTCAACCTTACTGTATAAAAATATTTAAATGTGTTCCGATATTTTGCTTTGAGAGCAATTAAAATTTAATTATTTTAATAAAAAGTAAAAATTACTACTAACTTTTAAGACTAAAAATCAAATAATGCTTAAACACACAAGCCTGTCACCCGGACGGGTAGGCAGAGACTACGGACTTGCATTTGAAACGATCTCGACACACCTCTCTCGCCTCCTCCACATCCATATACCTACGCATACATGCTCGTCGATTAAAAGTACTCATATTTTCGCCCATCTTCAATACTATCTCCAATTTGGTCAATAGGTAAGCTTCCGTGTTGTTTTTGATTTTGCTTGTCACTTTTATCTTATTCATTCTTTCTACGTGACCAAACCACCATAGCATAAATAAAATAATTTTTACATAATTTATCGTCACTCCCTCATTTTTCACCCTTATGAGTAGTTTTTTTTTTAAGTATAGACTTGTTACCCTGCTTGTTGTGCAGACGATAACATTCATATCGATCGATCTGCTTCATAATATTCATATTATGTATGTATGTATGTATGTAAATCACAGAGAGACAGTTTGTAGGGAGCAATTGTAATTAACTTTATTTATTTTACTTTATATATCTTTTGTTTCTGTTTAGTCTTCGAAAACTTCTTAGCCCGTAACAGTATGAACATTCCTTTTTTTGTGTGTGCTTATCATACTGTAATATTCTTTCTTATCGCACATATACACATATGCGCGTATTTGAACGCTAAATATAGAAATTCACATGCTGTATAATTAGGTTATATTAATGTATATACTTGCAAATATACAAAGCTCCTACAGAAATATTTCATTTCAATCATTTTATTATTATTTTTATAATAACAAAGTAAGCCACGTGAGAACAAAGAAACAAGCCAAGAACCATCGAGGATCTTGGTTGACCAAGGTATTACACCGTTACTGCTACCGTTACAGCCTATCAAAAGCGAGCTGAACATTAGCCTCCCCCATAGATTGCCTCATAGGGGGGATATTTGCCACAGTTGCCACGCTTGATGGGCGGATTGATAACCATAGTTTTTTATAGTTATTAGCAAGACGCTGCTGCCCATTTCCTGCTTTGTTTACATCTGTCGCGTCCTACGACACCCACGGGATCATATAGGATTATGGATATTCTTACACCATCACTACAGGCTATGGCTTAATTGATTTTTGCCTATTGAATTTTTTTACGTGTTATTTTTTACTACTACTCTTAAATTTCAAGGAGCCGTGGTAGCTCAGATGGTTAACGCTCGCTGTAAATTTCACAGTACGCCAGCAAACCGGGTTCGATCCCCGCCGGCACCAATGAAATTGTTAATTGCAATTTTAAGTGCTGATTTACCGCGTGCTTGGCGGCGAAGGAAAACATCGTGAGGAAACCTGCATGTCAGAGAAATATGAAAAAAATATTTCGAAGACATGTGAAGTTCGCCAACACGCATTGGGGCAGCGCGGCGAACAATTCCTTGCCCTAAAACGCTCTCAGAAATGAGTGGAGATGAGTGGGAGTATATAGGTGTAACTTTATTTTTTTATTTACTCTTAAATACATTGATCTACCATTTTTTTTAGGTTGTTTGAGCTTAAGAGAGCTTGTTAGGACAAAACTAGCAAATTTTCTAAACGACTATTTAATATGTGTGTTCTCTTTTTGAAGCTGTAATATGACGTACTTACCATGTATATGATACGCAAATTTTCGGTCATTAACACCTAAGAACTTCGAGGGGTCGAGGTTTTCGATTCGACGTACCTTTCTCCATAGTGTATAGTAGTCTGGACCAGTAATATATTCAATATTTAATTTCATTTCATTAAAAAATCGTCACTAGTCTTTTCTCCTGTTTCGTGGAGGCAGGCAGTTTAAAAACATAAATTGTCCAAAGACAAACATCCACCCGGAATAATTATTTGTAAGCCATACAAATACTTGTTCCGTGCGGGATTCGAACCCGCGGCCCTCAGCGCGGCACTGATTCCTCAGCGCGGCACTGATTCCTAAGCCACTGCGCCACGCATCCGTCAAATGGATGTGGATTTGTAATGTCAACCGAACATAATATTTTATAGAATATTTTATAATATGTTTTATGCGTAATTTGTGCTACGTGACCATAGAATACTATAATTACATATATAATAGAACGGGGGAGTGGGCGGAGCCCGTGTAGTCACTAAAATGTCACTAACTCGTCAATTCACATGTATAAATGTCAACACGAGATGTGTTTTGACGTTACAATCGTTTCCAAATTTCCTATGTAAATTATTTAGAAAATGCCAAACTGCACGTTATTTACAAATAAATATGGATTAAAATCTGTCTGTCAACACAGCGAATCGGTTTGTAGTAATTATTAACTGATAATACAACGTAATTGCTTGTATGTGTACTCCCGGCGATGCCTATCCTCGTACAAAATAAGGTTCACTGCCATTCTATTGTGTATTATAGTATTCTATGTACGTGACTATGTTCATTCCACGCTATCACGACACCACGAAGGTCCATAAGCACAGCATCTGGGTGTTCACGTCAATACACATTACACATTGTTGTGATTTTGAACCAAGCTCAGTTTACTGCGTTTGCTAGGTGACCCTAGGTGTCGTAAGACCTCATCCTGATTATTTTGAGACGTCCGTTGGGTATCTTGCTGTTTCTTCTTTCTTGCAAATAAAACAATTTTCATTCAAGCGCAGAAAATATCGCACTCACATAAGTTTAGCATATTCCTTATATAACCTCTTATATCAGAGAGGCTTTGAGGCAAGAAAGTGTACACCGCGCTGCCCCAATGCGTTTTGCCTAACTTTACATGTCTTCGAAATATTATTTAAGTTCTCAGACATGCATGTTTCTTAAATATGTTTTTCACATTATTCCTTTTATTTACAAAAAAAAAAAAGATTTGATCAAAACTAGTATAAACTTGAAAAAATATTTATTTTAGTGTACATAAAGCAAAACTTAACTGTATCTTGTAATTGTAATTCTCTTATTTAAAAAGAAACCAATGAAAGGAAGATTGGGAGGAGCAAAAATGTTAAAAAAGGATGGTGTGTATCATATAAAAGATGCATTAATTTAAAAAAAATATTGTGTCACTGATAAGGTAATAAGAGTTCCTTAAAAAATAAATAGTTCTTCAGTTCGAATAAATAAAAAACATGTTTTGGTATCTTTTGTATTATTATAATTGTATCATCTAACTTAATATTATCAAGTGTTTACGTGGTGGAGCCATGTTGCAGTTATACATGGCTGCAGTTGCAGATAAATGAAGATTTGTAAGGCTACAGCATCCACTTACCATCAGGTGGACTGTGTGCTCGTGTCAATCGTATTCTATAGAAGTTTTGTGGTGTAAGAAAGCATTGAAATTAAACTCCATTCAACCCTCCACATTACTATTTATCATATGTTTTATCAAAATAATTCAACAACTAAACAAAAACTGTTTAAGTTTGTGTAGCACAAAACTAATTGAATTTGAACATTTTCTTATTTCACTCTCACTCTTATCGTAATCATATCAGTTCGCCAAGTAATATTTCGCTGTTGACGATAAAACATTATGCTACCTTTAAACTTTAAGAATGCGCTTAACTTGATCAAATATACCATTTTCTTTTTTTTTTGCGTTTTTCTCGTAAAATATCACAGGTAAGGTGTACTATTACAGATAAGAAGGTAATTTTACCTGATAATAAATTAGATTTAATGTATATTTCACAACTATAAATATTTAAGCAAATAATATTAAAAAAAAAACTATAAAAATTTCGGTGCTTACCGATTCGGTAATATAGGTGATAAACCAAATAATACACCTTTTCTATGCAAGCATGAAGGTATCCTATTAAATGATGGTTAGGGTTCCTAATTTGAAATATGTCTCACTTTAGACAACTCCACTTTTGAGCAAATTTAATTGACAAATGCAATTTAATATACATTTATTGACTTTAAAATTATACGTTAGAGAAACAATCAGCCTATATATAATTTAAGAATAACAACTCAGCCATTTTTCTGAATCCTTTAACAGAGTTCACATTAGTTACTGATTTTCCGTAAGCTTTTCCAAACATCATAAATTTGTATTGTCTTTTGCATCAAATCATAAGATTAACAAAACATGTCCCAGATTATCCAAACAGCATGCATCTGTGTATGCATGCTGTTTGGAAAATCTTATGTTTTGTTGGTCAAAACATGTCTGAGATTATAGTGTAGACTTCTGTTATAGACCCAACCCAACACACTGCACAAAAAACAACCACTAAGTTAGATGAGCTACAATTGGAATGTCTGCGA